GAAAGAGGCCTTTTAAAGTCTGAGTTCAGCTGTGGGGATGTTCATATCTGGGGATTTGGTCCCTAGATACCAGCATGCTCTGCCTGGCTTCACTTGTAATTTTCCCATGGAAGGAGAGAAATTGATGAGGTCGCACACCGACCCAGATCCTCTTAAAGGAGCCACCTGAGGATTCCTGGGGTTCAGAGGTCCTGGAGCAGGGGAAGTGAATGTGGCAAAAAGGGAAACTGTTTGAAAATTTGTCTGAAAATCTGAGTGATAATAAGTATATTATCTAAGTGCAGGAGTTAGTTTCTCCTCCATCTACAGGCAGTCCCCGAGTTACGAACGGGGCCCTCCCTCTCCCTGGTCTCCGGCAGACCAGGGAGAGGAAGCAAAGTGGCGGAACACGCGGGCAGCAGACAGCCCAGACACGTCTGGGCTGTCAGCTGCCCACGTGTTCCGCCGCTTTGCTTCCTCTCCCTGGTCTGCTGGAGACCAGGGAGAGGAACGGCCCCATTCGTAACTGCGGATCCGACATAAGTCGGATCCGCATAACTCGGGGACTGCCTGTATTTCTTTTTTTTGAACCCTTTTAATGTCCTGGCCTTCATAACATCCTCCAGCAAGGAATTCCACAGGTTGACTGTGTGTTGTGTGAAAAAATACTTCCTTTTGTTTGCTTTAAACCTGCTTCCTATTAATTTCATTTGGTGATACCTAGTTCTTATGGGAACAAGTAAATAACTTTTTCTTATTCACTTTCTTCACACCAGTCACAATTTTATAGACCTTTATCATATACCCCCTTAGTCTCCTCTTTTCTGAGATGAAAAGTCCCAGTCTTTTTAATCTCTCCATGTGGCAGCCAATCCAAGCCGCAATCTAGTCCAGTTTCCTGAACTGAGACTGGACTAAGTATTATCTAGACCAGTGGTCACCAACCAGTTGATCAGGATCTACTGGTAGATCTTGGAGTCTCTGACAGGTGATCCTAACTGGTTTGGCTAGGAAGCTATGAAGCACTGGTCCTTCAGTTGCCCCTCCACCCACTGTTGTGCTGCT